TTTTGTAAATTAACATGCAATTATTTAAAGTAAAATGTTTAACTTACAGAAATGCCCAGTAAACAATTAATTAGCTCATTCAGCTTAAATAACTTAATAAGCCTTTCTAAATTATAATTACTTTCTATTTATGTTTAAAAATATTTTTTATTATTGTTGTGGGTGTATAGCCTAATATAATAAAATATAGCCTAAATATAATAAAATATAGCCTAAATATAATATAGCCTAATCTAATAGTCAATAATATTTTTTATATCAACAAAACAACAATAGCCTTAAATAAACTCTAACCCTGTCATAGATACCTCATTCGAAATATGACAACCAATCAAAAGTGTAGGAAAATGAGCAGCCCGTGAAACCCATAATCATAACAATAATTCAAAAATATATGATAGTAAAAAAGAACTTTTATGATAGCGAAAAAGAATTTTTACAAGTTTTACAAGTTTTTGTCTGGTGATATATATATATATATATATATTCGTTCATATTGGTGTTTATAAAACAATTTTTTTTTTTTTTATTTATTTTTATTGTTATTATTGTTGTGGTGCATAGCCTGTCTTATTTATTTTTAAATATTCCTCTAATTAATCTTTATTTTTGTCTTGACAACTGGCAAAATATGCTTTGTCTAATCAATAATTCTCCTTTATTCTAATGTACTTCATTTCTTCCCTCAGGTGTTCACTGCTTGTGTGTGACCATTCGGCGAATTTTATATGCCAAAGTTTTTAAATAATATTGGGCTTAGCCCGCAAGGGTTAGTGTTACGGTCATCAAGCACGACTATTTTCCTAATTGCAATTACTGTCACCGCGAAAGAGGATGTTTATCTGTGGAAGATGCCTGGGCTAGCTTTTCAGTCATAATTCAGTTCTAAATCCATGCATAGGTGTTTAATCCATCATGGTTTTCTGGAGTATGGCTGGGCTGGCTTGGTTTGGTTCAGAGACAAATCTTTTACGCTGGTTACTAACAATACTAGACTCTACTGAACGACATAAACAGCACAGACTTATACATTACACCTATACACCCTTATGCACATACAGCCTGTTTACATAGTTTGCATGCTTTTTGTTCTTTCATAGATAAACTATCTTTGTCTGAACTCATCCTTATTTAAATAATATTTTCTTTTATTAGATAATATGTGGTTGAAATGTTGATATAGATTTGTGTTTTATCTATATGTGTTTATAATGTGTGATACTCATTTAAGGATTCATATGTATATATATATATATATATATATATATATATATATATATATATATATATATATATATATATATATATTTATATGTGTATATAAATATAAGAGCGATTCTTATAAACTAGCGGCTTTTGACATGTTTTTATGATGTATGTCTTTCCTTGTTATTTTGTTATGGTCTCAAAATTACATTTAATTCTGACCGTAGAGGAAACATTACTTTTCGGAAATTTCGATTTAGATATGGTCTCAAAATTACTTTTAATTCTTAAGGTTTGATATCTAGCAAATAATATGTGAATAATTTATAAATATGTAAGTAATATAAATATATACAAAAATAGGTTCATGTACATTAGTGTCACCTCCATGACCCAAATCTTTACGTATTTCATTTATTATACAATCCATTGCTGACATGAGAAGATTCATTTCCTTTTTTATAGTAAGCAATGTATCTGAAGATATTTCTAAAATGAGTTTATGCACATCTTCAGAGTAGAGAGTAACATGAAGAGCTTTACCACCTACAAAAAATGTATTTCCTGAGACAAATGTTCTATTCACTAATGTTTGACTTTGATATATACGTATTTTTATTTATTTTTATAAAATTAATAATAAATATAGATAGATGAAAAAATATAAATACACAATTAGCAGTTGCTACAGTTAATTCATTATTGTCAGATGTTTTATACATATCTTTTAGTACAGAGGAAATAACTTGTTAGAAGGTTTTTGAGTCTTGAGAAAGAATGAGCTCATGTAGATTTTGCACTGTTGCAGATTTTGTGCAAGGGTGTCTGATACCTTTACCAACCCTTTGGTAGCAATCTGTGCAAAAAGATGCATTATTCACATCTGAGGACTCATGCTCTTTACTAAAATCCAAGTTTATATATATTTGCATGTATCATCAATAAATCAGTATTAGTCACAAACTTTTGTTTAACTTTTTTTAAATGAAGACATTTTTTATATGTTGAACAAACTCCAGATGGTAGAGAATTGATTTCCAAACTAAACCCTGGATCCACTTATAGAATAATGAGTT